TATATATATATAGCCTATTGCAATAATAAAAAAAATACAATAAATTTCACCAGATGACTTGAATAGCTCTATTTGGAAAGAAGAAATCATTCTAGAATTATTGTGGTATTTTTGTATAGAAGTGCATCAGCATAGAAAATAAAATGATTGGTTACTCTGAAAACTTTTTTGAGTGTGAACCATCCTTTTATGGCTGAACGATTTGGTCACAGTTTACAAGAGCTTAAATATCTTTCTACTTGACTTTTCATAGGCCACATTCCCACTGTTTTTGACTTTGATTTAATAAATGTGAGTATTTTCAAATACTAATAAATAGTAATAAAATAATAATAAATGTGTTTTTAACAATAATAATGCATGTTATAATTTTTTATTGTGATTATTATTAAATACAAATATTTAAACTTGCGATTGTACTGGCAAATAAAAATATTTAAAAAATGTAACAACTGTAATTATTTACGTCTTAATTTCTTAATTTTTAAATGTTAAACCAACTTGTCAGCAAATAAATATATGTGCTTGCTGCGAGTTTCAGAGTGTAATGCAGCACTGTGTTAGTTTATGCTACTGTGTTTCAGTGGTTTGAGAGAGTATCTTTGGTTGCAGCGTCTTCACGCAGTTATCATTTTAACGTCCTGCGCCACGTTGTTTAAATAGCAAATGCATTTGCGCCCATTTGTGCGCCCATGGTTGTGCTGGTCTGAAAACAAGGTTTTTAGACACGTTGTTGCCGCGTTGCTATTTTGAGGCAACTGAAATAGACTGGGCCATTGACCAACAAAAACCTGGTCTAAAATCAATGGCGCAGTATTTCTTTTGTTATTTAAAGGGCACGTAATATGCCTATTATATGCGCCTAAATGCGGGTGCACAATGCGCGTGCACTCTGCTTATTATACACACACAGGGACACGCAGCAACTAGCCAACCATTAAAAACAAAAGGATTACAATGTAACAGATTATTATTGTGTACATAAAGATATGGTGGAATCCGGCTTGTCCCGTAGGTGGTCTGCTTGCGCGCTTTAACCTCACGAACGAGCAGATCCGTTTCCTCGCTAGAGAAGCGTTCAGTCTTTCTGCTTGCAAATTCTGCCATGCAAATAGTGAATCCACCATGGTGCGAGCGCAACTGGCTTTTAAAGGGAATGGGAGGTGAGACTTTGATTTTTTTATTGCACGTTATGCCCAAAACACACCCATTACTCATTAAGAGAATAGGGACAACCCTTTTAGACCATGCGCCGGGTGCGCCGACCATTTTTCCCGTCGTTAAACTAGCAAAAGTGGATTCGGATACGCCCTAAGTGCTCTTGCGCCGTGCGCTTTACACCATGCGCTTAGATCATTAAAATAGGGCCCTGAAAGTTTATAAAATGTTGTTTATGCTAAAAATCATGCATTTATCCGGAAACAGACTTAAACAAATTGTAACCGCAACACAATGGGTTTTATTGATATAATATTAAAGGAGAACTCCGGTCAATTTTAACATTGAGCTCATTTTTTTGTACATTTGGAGTGCTGTCAGTACAGACAAAAACGACAAAAATCGGTGTTGCCTACACCGTGTTATCCTCTTTTTAAAATTCGCACCCTGTTGACTTCAATGGGGCAAGTTCTAAACCTGCTTTTAGCCTCTTAACCATAGACAGTAAAAGAAATGGACACAGCGACCCTGTTGATTTCAACGGAGAGAGTTGAAGCCCAACATGGGCACTCACTTCCTGATAGCCAAGCGTTCTGCGCAGGCTCAAACTGAGCTTGACGACGTAGTTGTCACGTGAGCAACCGTTCTGACCTTCTAGTAGCTGTGCCGGGACAAATCTGAATTGAAATCTAAAACAAATCTGTTGTTGAAATATTTTGTCCCGTTGCCTTTATGAACTCTCTATCTATGGGCTTCTCCCTTGACTTTATGCCTCCATGTCCACTCGATTGCCTCACAGACAGTAAACGATTGCCTACGAGCTTCTACTTCTGTCTATACGGTAATTTCTCTACTGTGCGACAGAGCGTCTCGTGGTTATGACGCAATCGTTAGCCTATTTTTACAAGAATGGCTTCTATGGGGCCATAACGTAAGATACAAAGTAATGGAGCCTTTTATACATTGTCATGTTTCTTTAGAAATAACTAATGAACAAATGGAGTCTTTGGACGCCTCAGATGTAAAGTTATTCGCTGTCAAAGTGACGCCAAAATGAATGGGAGTCAATGGGATGCTAACAGCAGGTGATAGCCAGCTACAATGGCGGCCCCCGGAGGCAGCTTCAACTTCCGGCTGATGGATTACCCCCTTGCTCTTAAAGCCACACCATGCAGAAATTGTGTTTTTTTCAAACAGTGACCCCTATAGTCGCTGTGGAATACTTGCACTGTCGTAAATAGCTAGCTAGACATATGTGGAAATTACTGGACAGGTCTAATTATCAACAATGGATGAACAGCATCGTAAAAAATGACATACTACAAGCAAGCGCAACAACATAGAACGCAAACAAGTTTAGAAATAAGAGATTTATTTACTAGTCTATCAACAAGATAGCCAGGTCAGCATCGCTGTTGCATCCAGTGCTGCTTTTTAGCTCGCGCCAACTAGTGAAAGCCCGACCGAGTGCGACTGTCACAACTCTGAAGGAAATAGTCAAAGGATTCAGTTGCGAGTAAACAGTAATTTATTGAGCACAATAGTAGATAGCCGTGTGGGTCAAAATGGAAGCAGGCAGAAGAAGACTCAGGCTCGGAAAAACAGGGACGCAGTGGGCAGACACATATGCAGGAACAGGTATAAATTCCTCCGGGAAAATCTCAGGAAACCACTGCATGGGTACAGGAGTGGAATGCAGGAGAACACGGTGAGTAGAACCCTGGTAGCCTCAACTACCATCTGACATAGACAGGACGAGGTAAAAAAAAAACAATATATAGGACATCCTCATTCAAAACAGCTGGCGCTGATCAGCTCATCAGCCGCGCTGATCAGCCGCGCTCCCTCACACAACATGCACACACATAGCGAGGGCGAATCAGGGACTCTTTTCCAGTTCCTCACACGGTCAGATTCTCTTTTCCTTTTCCTAGTCTCTTCCGACCGTGTTTTTTTTTGCTTTCTCCATCGTCGAGTATCACGTCTGAAATGCACGCAAGTGTCTTCGTGCTTCATATATTGTTGTTGATGTGTGTGACGTCGTTGCCGTAAAGCATGTCGTTATTCTCGCGAGATTTGTCGGGGGCGCTCCTCTCAAACTTGCATTGCTGGTTTTTACAGTGGCGTCCCCCCCCAAGCTTTACTACCAGGATTATTCGCCCTACTGTGAGTTTGTTTACCACCGAAATGACTTTGAAGCTGTTATATTAAGGTACAATTCTTGCATAGTGTGCCTTTAACAACCTTAATGTGTCATTACAAGTGCCCAGCCATGTGAGTGGTGTTATTAAGAGTGACCACGGTCAATCTGACTGCAGTAGATGTGAAAGATATTAATAAAAATGATGTTAATTCAGCCAGCTCACATACCTGCATTTACTTCCTGTTTCCGTTCGAAGTCCACGGTAGTCAATTGTCGAGTTCGCGCGCGCAATCATTGGTAACTAATATATACTAATATCTAATCTAACCAATCAACTATCTAACCAATCAACTAATATCTTGCACATCTACTGCAGTCAGATTGACCGTGGTCACTCTTAATAACACCACTCACATGGCTGTGCACTTGTAATGACACATTAAGGTTGTTAAGAGTGTAAAAGCAGGTTTAGAACTTGCCCCATTGAAGTCAACAGCGTGCGAATTTTAAACAGGGTTCTCAAGTTTTATCAAAAGCTTGGAGTGAGATCACATGCGGTTAGGGGAGGAGCCCAAGGGGAGGGGCCCCATTGGAGCCCCGCCCATCCCCGCCCCCCAATTTTACCCATTGTTCATAATAACCAGCACAAATTGAAATTATAACAATTGGTAAATCTGATAAATGACAGATCAATTCATCACATCCAATATACTCTTTAATGTTATATTTCAAAATCACAAAAATATAACAAATTGCTCCAAACAGTTTGGAAAAACAATTATTTTTGCATTTTTCCCTGAAATCTTTGAAAAATACAAATGCAATGGCAATGATTAATGTATGTTTTGACAGTATATAAAATATTACCCGGAGCACTCTGCTTTAATACATGTAGCCTTAATGTAACTAGAAAGACTATTAATACAGTATAATATATAATTTAAAATAAAATTTAGAAATACATCTTCATTCCTTCCCATAGCCACTAACATTTCCCTTAACAAAAGCTTCTGGCTTGGTTGCAAAGTAGTTGTAGAGTTTTTGACTGCACCAATAATAATGTATACGATTGGCTATATATTAAATGTTCTAGCCTAAAAATGTTAGACAAGCTTTCTTCCAACTTACCTTCTCCATCATGGCCTATGATCACGACGTGTGTTCGCGCGATATTGTTGGTTACCTAGTAACGAACGTACGGTGGCCGAGAATGTGTGTGCGTGTGTTCGCGCGGTGGCCGAGAATGTTCCTTCAACTTCCGTTTGTTCGCGCATCTATGTTGCCCATGATGTTGCCTAGTAACGAACGCAATCTGGCCGAGATACGGACGCGCTGGCGGCAGGAAACTTCACTTTGTGTGCCTGCGCCTCGTATACAACGTTATATATAAAGCTTGCAGGACAACTTGGTTGGCATTGCCTTTTCAGCGTGAGAAATACATGGCGTGGCGTGTGAACTGGTTGAATTGCCACGGCCAATGCGTGAGACTTGAGAACCCTGTTTTAAAAAGAGGATAACATAACACGGTGTAACGTTAGGCAACACCGATTTTTGTCTGTACTGACAGCACTCCAAATGTACAAAAAAATTAGCTCAATGTTAAAATTGACCAGAGTTCTCCTTTAAGGTTAGATGACAGGTTAAATGCAATAATTGAGAATAAACAACAGCAATTCACGGTAAGATGAAAGTTCCACGGGTGAGTACGGCCCCACACACATACTTTATTATACCATGTAGATATTCTAATGACTGATCGTCTTTCTCTTACAGATGTGGATATGGAACTTGGATACGCAGGAGCAACAACGAGGAGGAAACACAAGAGGTAAGAAATGCAGGTAAGTATCACACGTAGTCCTACGTGAGAGTATGGATGGCGTGCCTAACTGATGAGGGTGATTGTTGGCTGCGCAGGTGGTGATTGAGTGTGTGCAGGAGGGATGCTGGGAAACGTAGTGCTGCAGTGACCATAGACAGGGCAGTGACTGGAGATCATGACAGCATTGTGAATGGGCTCTATGCACGGCGGTATTTCCGGTGAAGGTCAAGGATGCTCGATAACTTCCGCCGATCATAGAGTCCAATGCAGTACCGAGAATTTATATTGAATTGTATACTCCATGGTTATACTAAAGAAGCGTTAGTCACAAAAACTGACAAAACAGATACACCTCGTTGTGTTTATGCTTCTTTTTAAAATTATATTAAATAAACACAACTATATATAAAATTACATCTAAACGTATGAAAGTTTCGTTTCAAAGACGGGAGGACAGTAAATTTTGAAGACTCTGCCATAATCCCGTTTTCCTCCGCTTTAATCTCCCCAACCGGAAACTGACGAGCATCCTTGCGTCAAATGCGGAACTTATGCGTGCATATAGCCTATAGGCTTTATGCACAGCTTCACTACTTCCTGAACTTCAGCCAGCCCTTTGTTTCCTGTCTGTCATTATTGAACAAACTGATTAATCCAGGTGTGCCTGATTATTGTTACTGAGGCCAGGCACACCTGGATGAATCAGTTTGTCCAATAATGACAGACAGGAAACAAAGGGCTGGCTGAAGTTCAGGAAGTAGTGAAGCTGTGGCATAAAGCCAATTCTCCCTTTTATACATGTAAACCACAATTAAGCTTAGATCTGATTTATCTTTAGATCTCCTTCCCAGACCTTCCTTATTTTACAATATATTGTAATTGTTCATAATTACTGAGGGCTCTCAGATCTCACGCACATAAAATGTCAAATATAAAAACACTGCTTTCTCCTCAAATGATTTAATTTTGTATCTTGCATTACTTTACACATCAACATCGTCCAGACTTCTCCATCTGCTTCCTTTAGGAAAGTGCTATTTCCTAAGGAAGTCCAGTCAAGACGCATCAAGCTATTACCCTTAATCCCTTCGGGGCTTGTTCACTTAATTCAGCTACAGAGCAGAAGACCGTTAAGAAGCAGAGAAACAAACACACCTACTTGAACGCCCCAGGAGCTCGACACAAGGTCTTCTGTCTTTTTTGAGAGAAAATAGTGGCATTTTGCTCAGGACATTGAAGGTCTCAGGGGATATGGGGAAGCCTGTGACGATGCTTTATATGTGTCCTCACAAGTTGATTTATTTGCGTTTCTACTATTCACATTGACTAACTCAAGCAAGCACCAATGGAGTACACCAGGCGGATACATTCCTTTGGGTGACATGTTGTGGAAATAAAGCTTCTGGGACTTAGAAGAGGAAACCACAGGTGAGTTTTACCCATGTTGGGGTTGTGTCCCTTTGATCTGTTATCTATTGCTGAAACCTTTTATGGTTTAATTGTTTGCTGACACTGTTTACACAGCCTTTCATATTAAAATTATATTCAAAGAAATACACAGAATAGGTACTAAAAGCTACAACTGATTTAATAGTGATCTATAATAATATAAAATCTTAAACCACTTTTTTTTTTTTTAAATGGCCAATATTTAGTATGGGATAAATTACGTTTTAAATATGTCTACACGTCTTACGCTCTTTGAAGAAAAGTTTCTATATAGAACCTTAAAGGCTTCATTAACCTTTTAGGGGTTTCCATCATGGGACCATTGTGTGGATTTAGTTTGAATTAATTAAGTTTGAAATCTTTTTTATTTTGATACATTTTTATGAAATAAACAGCTTGTAAACATACTTTATCACTAGACAAAATTGAACAAATCTGTTAAACATGAAAGTATTATGCAATGATTGAAGACATTTTTCCTTACTGTATATAGAATATTTTTGGCGTAAATTGTTCTTTAAAATTGAGTCAAGAACCTATACAAAACCCCATTGAAAAGAGCTTTTGTCAACATTTAACCTCAAAAATAGCATGTCTGCTTATACACTTGTGTATAAGTGTCTTGTGATTGTGCTGTCTGGTGAGCTAATGAATAACCTTCTTTACAACCAAGTCTATAAATCCATAGTCCATAATCCCTAGTTATTCAGGATTTCCTTAAAAAATAAAAACACTTAAAAAAAATTCACCTGAGTCCTCATGATTTTAAAAATGGTGAGATAATTAGCCATATTTTTTTAAACTATTTGAATAAATAACAAGCTGATTTAAATTGAGGCTTTGTTTGACAGTTGTGGGCTTTGACTGAAGCACAGGTGCGTGTTGACGTCGTCTGCTCTGTAAGGAGGATTGAGCCCAGTGCAAGAGAGCAATGACCCCAGATTAACTCGCTCTCTGGATCTCATTAAGGTCTACAACAACATCATATAGGTGTAGCCTATATTCATGTTAAAAACTTGGCAATATTGTACAAGATTTTTTATTCTCATTTCATCTGCAATATGATTTACTGCACTCAGAAAAAAGGGGAGCTGTCACTGGGGCGGTAACCTTTACTAATATGTACACTTTAGATATTGAATTTGAGTATTTAATAAATAGCATTGTGTTTTACTGAATTAAGTGTTGTTTATTTAGCAGTTTATGGTTTCTTAAGCATTTTAAAAATAAAAACATGCTTTATACTTTTGGATGTGGTTTGCATTAAATAGGCATAGATAAAACATGATTTGTTGTGCATGATTCATAAAGTCTCATACAGGTGTTAAATGATGAGATGAAAAGTGCTTGTTATACTTACTTTCTTATGTTCTGCATTCAGGAGAAGCCATGGGGTGTGGTGTCACAAAAAACAGTGCATTCAATAAAAGATATGACAAAGGTAATATGTTTACTAAAAACATGGATATGAATGGCTAGTGTAAATTAAAGAATGATATGTTTGAGTACTGTTTATTCAATGAATATTTTGTTTAAAGGGGTCATGAACTGGCTTTTTAAATTGTTTTATATTGTTGTCTGAGGTCAACTTATGACATTCGCTTGGTTTTTACATTCAAAAACATCAAAATGAATAAGTAATAGGCTATTTTCTACCCTAGTTTTGAGCCTAGCTCAAAAACGAGTCGTTTGCTGAGCCTGGTGTCAATAAAAGCTTTTATTGGACTAACAAGGACGTTTTCAGTTCTGAAACTTACAGGATATTCTTATAATTTGACCTCTTAGATGTCAAAAGCTCAAGGAAAATTTGATTTCTCAGTTCATCACCCCTTTAAATTTAACTTCATCTTCTTAAAACACATGGACATGTCATCCCAGGTGAGATTTTAGCAGTCCAGCAAAGCTTGTGTAAAGCCTTGTTTATCTCTAGCACCTATAGAGCATGGCTGTCAGGTGTTTCTGTGCAATGTCAATATAAGTAACTCATTTACATTCTCAACATGCCTTCTTTTCCACGCATGTCTGCAGTAGCCATAAGTAAGCAAAATTCCTCTTTTATCACCACTATGACATTTGTTTGACTGTTGTTGAGTAGTGCACACTACACAGAGTTATATTATAAGATGTATGTAGATCTGACATTAATCTCTCTCTGATAAACTGTGTGTGATTCTAGAAGCCTAACCTGAAAGTTATTGCATTTATGACAAATTAATTTAATTATTAATTTAAATGAATTTAATCAACAACAAAAAAAGGTATTCTGATAGTGGAAACCTGTGTCATGTTCTCTTGAAAGCAATGAAAGCAGCGGTGATAATCCAGCGCTGGTACAGACAGTATGTGGCCCGCATGGAAGTAAGACGCAGATACACCTGGAACATCTTCCAGTCCATGGAGTACGCAGACCTACAAGACCAGATCAAAGTATGAAATCCACCATAATCTAATCATAAGGGATGGATGGAATGGAATAATTTATTTATCTCCGAGAAAACTGTAAACAACATTTATAATGATATGACACATATTTTTTTCTCACCTCCTCACGCAGTTATACAATTTTCTTGGTTACCTGATGGATAACTTCACTCCATCCAGCAGTGAACGTAAAAGAAGCTGTTGCATGTAAACACAAATACCACAGATACAGCTTTTCACTGGAATCTATCCATGCTAAAAGCGTCCTGTGTGTTCTTCTTCCATGTAGGAAATCTGATCTCACATATCTTTAGAGAAAACGAGGTTTGCCGAGATGCAGAGTGGGAGAGATATTTCAACTACACCAATATTGATGTGCCAGACATCTACTCTGGCCCACGGCTAACTTTTCCTTTAGATATGGATCAGGCTGCTGATCTTGTAGAGGCCTTCAAAAACAAACAAGTAGGTGCTCAACGAGGATGCATTAAAAATATGTTTTAGGTACACTCTCAAAAATTATGCTTCTTTATTGGGATCTATGGTTTCATAAAGAAAGTTTAACATCCATCCTGGCTAACAGGGAACATTCTCAGAACTTTGGCTTATATTCTGGCTAGGTTGAGGAAACATTCTTCCAGCAACGTTTATAGAATGTTCGTTCAGAGCTATCTGGTCTTTAATAATCTCAAAACAATAGCACATTATTTATAGATTGTACATGGAATGTTTTTTTTCTGGAAACATTTTAGTTGGACGTTCTTCTAACATTTTTTAAATGCTACTTGTTTCAGAATGTTCAGAGAACATTCAAGAGTAACGCTGCCATAATGTTTACAAAATATAATGTTTCCTTAACATTTACATAACCAAGAAAAACATTTTAAAACATAAAAAAACTAGACGTTTGAACATTACAAGAACAGTCAGAAATAACTCTTTTTTTTTTTTTGACATATTTTTATTAGATGGGATGGAACCTTTCCATTGCAAAAAAAGGTTCTTTAACAGATTTTGTAACTTTATTTTATACTAAAAGGGACAGGTCTTAAAAGGGAATCTATATATAAACACACAGGGCTCAACGCTAAGGAGTTCACTGGTTATTTGCCCTGCCAAAATTTTCACTGGCCCCGCCACACATACACACACAAAATAAATATAAATACGTAAATAGTATTTTACTAAATAATGTTAAATAAAGACAAGTAAACAGTCAGTAATACAATAAGAACAAATAAACAAATTACAAGCAATAGCACTAATAAATACAATAGAACAAAAATGTTTAGGTAGTATATTTAGATAAGAATTACCTAATGTATAAATTAAATATTTATATTAATTCTATTAAAGCCAAAGAAGAAATTCAGTTAAAGAGCAGATTTGAGCAGAGTGTGAGCGGCCGAAATACCAATCTCCCTCAAAATCTTGAGCTGAATTGAACATGGCCTGGTTCATATATTCTTCACACCAAGAAAAAAAAATGGTTCTTTTAAGAAATATACAGTGAGAACCCAAGTTTTAGAGAATCCAAAAAGGTACCACTGTGCCATTGCTGCTAAAACTCCCCTTTGGAACCTTTATTTTATAGAGCAGGGATGGGCAACTACGTCCTGGAGAGCCACTGAGAACCCTATTCAAACACACCTGGACAAGATACAGTAATCCATGTTAATCAATGTCTTCATGATTACTAGAAATCTACTGGCAGGTGAGTTTTTGTCAGGGTTGGAGCTGAACTCTGCAGGACAGAAGTTGCCTATCCCTGTCATAGAGTGTGTGTGACAGTCAGATAACACTGATGTCTTTAACCATGTACACTTCTGGTTTCTCTAAGCAGCAGCTTCACTCTCGTTACGTTCTTCAGCTTCTTCTGGAAACGTGGAAGCTACTCAGAGGGTTGCCAAATATCAACCGAGTCTCTACATGCCATAGCAAAGAAATAACTGTTTGTGGTAAGAATGCCCGACACATCCTTTTATCTTTTTTATTGTTACACTATTCAACGCCTCAAGTTACGGACTTCATTACAGGTGATTTACATGGACAATTAGAGGACTTGCTACTAATATTTTACAAGGTAGGTTTCAAATCTGTCCACACTTAGCTACGAGATTGTCTTTAAATACTGTGCATCTATTCCTATGAATTTGTGGTCTATTTATTTTCCCAGAATGGAATGCCGTCAATGGAGAAACCCTACGTTTTCAATGGAGACTATGTGGACCGAGGCAAAGACTCCATAGAGATTCTGCTCATATTGTTTGCTTTCCTGCTTGTGTATCCTGGAGATGTTTATCTTAATCGAGGAAATCATGAAGACCACATCATTAATTTGAGGTAATGGAAATGTGCTGAACACATACATTCAACAAATTTTTTGAGGAAAACGTTCCAGGGTTTTCTCCATATAGTGACTTCAATGGTCCAACGGGTTGAGGTACTGCAAAATGCTTGTGGTGAGTATATAGTATGTATAATTATTACATAAATATTGTGTTACAGTAACACAAAAACGCTATAATGTGATCATTTTACACGTTACATTTACAATATAGCACATAAACATAAGGGCAAGAATAAAAAAATTGTTTTTATCTTAATCTTTCAGTGTCCACAAAGCAGATGGTCAGATTTACGTCCCTTTTTCTGCAAGAAACAAATATTATGCCTCTTTGAATTTTTTTTTTTTTCTGTTCAAAGGTATGGCTTCACCAAAGAAGTGCTGGGAAAATACAAGGTAGGTCATTAATTACAACTAATGTCTGTGCTCTACAATCCCTCAAGTTCCTAACTCTCCGTCAACAGCGTTTTCAAGCGTTTTTCAAAAGTTTCTTGTCCACACTGAAGCGTCGGAAAGTGCTTAATTTACCTTTAAGATCAAAAGGAAAACAGAATTTATCACTGATCTCAAAGTGGGTTGTTTAAAAGTCTTTTAATCGTGATTTCATTAGTGCCATGGGCTATTAGCATTTATGCTAGCAAGTGGGGTTTTTGGCTAAAAAGTTTAAAATGGTCAATTCTGTTACCGTCAAACTGTGTTACCAAGTTAGAGCAATGCTGATAGTATGTAACAGAATTTGACCTACAAGACCATAAAGAAATATGTGTTTTCATGAAAAGTAAAAAAGGAAGTAACTTGTGTGTGGCAAGCAATGAATTATTCAAATTAATATGTTTTCAATAAGATATAGGGAAGAATTTCTGTTAGTGAACAGTTTTTTCCCTTAACTTTAAAACAAATGCAAAATGTATCTCCAATTATAGAGTCACTCACATGTGTAAAACATCTTAAAAGCTCACTGAGATGCTACAGACAGAACAAGACATCATAAAGTTATCATGCAATTTTTCTGGCAGGATCATTTTATTTTAGCAAAATATCTCTCCATTCACTGATGCATTCACACTCACTCACTCACAATTATATGTTTGGTCTAAAAGAGAGCATTTTCTAAAAGCTTTGTTTTTGTTGATAAAAACGCTGTCTCATGTGGACGGAAGGCCAAAACAGAGAGAAAACGTATTAGAGTGGACAAGGCCTAAGAGTTTGTTTACCATACTGCCTTAGCTGTTTATCTCCATTATGAAACAGTAAGGGATATCCCGACACTTTCTTTCCAAGAATGCCACCTCTTAACTGCTAGTAGCCTGCTTAGACTTACAGTTTAAAAGGGGAAACTCTGGCCAGTTCTCCTGCAGTTATTTTCACTGTGAATGTTGGCCAATCCTTGGTAAGAGGATTACAACGTAAAGTCTTAAACATTCTTGCACTCTGTCACTGGTATGGATTAACTAGCTGCTAAATCAACAAACTGTTGACTCCATATATATGCCGCCTTAGGAAATTGAATTTACGGTAATGGGTAATTTTTTAACATTGGAAAGATACTACATTTATACAAGTATTTTAAAGTACTGGTGGCAGTTAACTAGTTGTTAAATGAACAAACGTTTGACTGCATATATGACAACTTATTAGGGAATTAAATATACGTAATTTTTAACATTGGAAATATACTTATTTATACTAATATTTTAAAGGACCCGTGGCTGTGAACTAGTTGTTAACAAACATTTAACTGCATATGACACCTTAAAAGGTGTATTGAATATACAATGAGTCATTTTTTAACATTGGAAATATACTATATTTATACTAGTATTTTAAAGAACATCACAGATGGGCAATAGAATGATCTTTGTCAAGTGTTGTTTTTTTGGCAGATTTGGGGTCAATGGCAAACATCTTTAGCAAAATATCCATTGATGGTGCTAACTGAGGTTATGTTCAGTTAATGTTTTTTCCAAGTATAATAAAGTATTTTTATGGTTTTAGTTAACGACAATAACTCTGCTGAGGAATAACTCATTAACATCGTCAGTAATGTGTTATGCTCTGAGCTTCACATTATGGTGAAATGAATCTGAGGAGCTTCTTTTATCTGTTCAATCCCTTTAAGTTGCATGGAAAGCGTATCCTCAAGTTGCTCCAGAAGATCTTCAGCTGGTTGCCCTTAGTGACAGTAATCGACCACCGGGTGCTGATAGTCCATGGAGGAATCTCAGATACCACTGAACTCGCTCTGATAGCTCGAGTGGACAGACACAGAGTGAGTCAAACAAACGGTTACATGTTGTTAAATCCTGAACATCTCCTCTTTTAACTGATCAATATGACTGTTGTCTTTCTATAGTATGTGTCTGCTATGAAGCCCCCGAAGAAGAAGACTCCATCCCGCAAAAGTTTATATGCAGATTCAGAGCTTTATAATGAGATGATCATCTGTAAGAGCAGAAGGGGCTCAATGACCTTTCCCAAACCGTTTGCTGCTCGGGACAGTTTCCAGAGACGCTCCCTTCAAGACTTCTCAAGGACTGTGTCTCGGACGGTTGAGGAAGAGTTCGAGGTCCGTCGTAGGCAAGCGCAGTTTAGCATGTCCAGCTTCAGCCAGTCTCACCGCATTCTGGGCACTGCTCCGTCCTGTGAGTCTGAGCCAGACTCATCTGAGGTCATCGACACCAGCGATGATGATTGGAAACAGGTGGGCTTCATTTGACGGTATCTGCTTTGGTACATGTTTGTGGTTTGTTTAGTACTAAATACTAAAGTACTAGTAATACATTTAATACTAAAACAGTTAGGTAACACTTTATTTTAAGGTGACGTGGTTACACGTCACTACATATAGTATACATATAATTATGCATAATTTACTGTTATTACTAGTATACTATAAGTAACTAACCCTAACCGTAACTCCATAGCAAGTACATTAATAAGTACATTATTAGTAGTTAATTAATATTACTCGGTACTTATTTGAGGAAGTACAATATAACTACGTCACCTTAAAATAAAGTAACCCAGTTATATCCTCAACCATTTTGAACCCTTTCCAGGCCACCCATTGGCCATAAAATTATTCAAAGGCCCCATGACTTTTCTTATTGTTTGTGATTTACTGGATAAGGATTAATGATTAAAATATATATTTCTACTCAATTTCTAAAATATTTTAGAGCTTGGCATAACTCAAATAAATGTATGTTCATAAAATGTATCCCAAGGAGTTGTAAGATTGGATTAATTTAAATGACTTAAAATCACACTTTCATAGGAGGTGAAATAAAATAAGAAGTATGTTGTTTTTAGTTGGTCTTAGTTGGATTTTATTTTGGTCTTATTTTGTTTTGTCTTTATTTAAAATTATGTATGTAATTTTGAGGCCCAATAGTTGGCTCTGGTTCACTGGTTGAGATCCACTGTACTAATTTGATACATGTGTAGTTTTGAACCATTAATTTAATTAATTTCAACTCATTCCTCAGTGTATAAAAAACACAAATTGCATTTGGAGTATCGTACTCATAGTACAATGGAAGTCTTTTGGATAAGACGTTGCACAAAAATAAACATTAAAGGGACACTATGTAACTTTTGGCCCTCTAAAGGTTAAAAAGCAAAAGTGCATGCATTTTGTGGAAGAACAATGTTTTGGTTGTGCCTCGGCTGTGGTTATACTGCTTCTTATACAACTGCTTATTCACTACTAAGATATAACCAGTTTAGATGGATAGGATCTCAAGCTGACTAACTGAAGACGTTAATGTAGCTATAACCATTGATAGACATGATACTTCCAGCACAGCCCTACAACAACCATAATGAAATGATCCTTCACAATAGATTTGCTTTACATTGAACTGTGTTAGAGAGCTACACATGGCAATTTATCTGTTCAATAAAATACCACACGCACGGGCGAGTGACAAATGTATGCAATTTCCTCCGAAAACCATCCCGGCAGGTCTAAGGGTACGTTTACACGACAACGATATGCTTAAAACGGAGAAGTTTTTCCTTTGAATTTTCCGTGTACAGACGACACCATTGTCAAAACGATCCCTATTCACACGTATCCGTGAAAACGACTAAAAACCATAGAAAACACTGTATTCTGCTGCCAGGCCATTAGATGGCGATGAAACACTATAGACTGAACATGTAATACGCATGTGCATGACGTCATCGTCTTCAGAGATTCGTTTTTGTTGTTTACACGGAGATAGTTTTCAAAAACTTGCACTTTGAAACCCGTTTTTCAAAAGTTTCCGTTTTCAGGCACCCAAAACGCTGTTGTCGTGTAAATGAACGGCCAAAACCCATAAAAAGTTTTATGTTTTTAGTTGAAAACGGTGTTGTGTAAACAGCCCCTCAAATACAAACAATTTTAGGCTTACCATAGTGAATCAGGGTAAGACAAAAACACACAAGGATTGATGATGTATTGACTTATTATTTAAATGTAGTTAATTTGGGGGGGAAAAAAGTGACATGGTGTACCTTTAAAATACACACAAAGTATAATAAAGTATAAAAGATTTCAAAAGTATATATATGCTAATATGAGACTAGTGTGATAAATTTGTTTATAATCTGGAACATTACGTCGTAATTATGCCAACAGTTAAATAGTTTTACAATCTCTCCTTGCAATTACATTTATACTTTGGTGTCATCAGATTTTGGACCTGCTGTGGAGTGACCCCATGTCCCAGGACGGTTGTGTTCCCAATGAGGTCCGTGGCGGAGGTTGTTACTGGGGTCCTGATGTCACCGAGGACTTTCTGAACAGACACAATCTCCAGCTCATCATCCGCTCACACGAGTGCAAGCAGGATGGTTACGAGTTTTGCCACAATCGTAAGGTCAGCAATGCAGTGATCTGAGGACTTATACAGTGGTTTGAGAAGGAAATAATAATTACTGTCATTTCGGCTAAAGTTTTTATTAAAATGTCTGTCAGGCAGGGACTGAATAGATTAACATGCTCATTTAAAAGGTGATAAATTGTCTTATTTACATTTACATTCATGTACTTAATGGCTCATGTTAATTTAGAGTGCTTTTTAGGACACTGTGTCCTGTGAGTAATATAGTAATTGTCTAGATGAGCTCGGAGGAAAATTATTCCTCAGACGATTTGCCCTTTCGTAATTATAGAAACGCAAGTTCTAAGTTACTGTATATTTCATTAGCATTGTCTCAAATGTCTCTGTCGAAAGTCTCAATTTCCCCTCGTTTCATTTCATTGCTGTGAAACAAATAAGAAAAAAAAAAGATCCAATTTGTAATTTTTCGAGAATATAATATTTAAAAATAAAAAACATTTAAAAAATCCTAAAATCATTTATCATAATTAATTCATTGTCTACTTATGTTTTAGTTGTCCAGATTGACATGCATCAATCTTTAAGTGCAATTTTTTCATCTTAAATGTCTAAATATTTTTGGGGTCAATGTATGTTTGTAGAAGTGTTCTTGACAGTTTTTAAAGTTGATTTGATTTATGTATTTTGATTTTTAGGTCCTGACCCTTTTTTCAGCCTCTAACTACTATGAGATTGGCAGTAACAGAGGAGCCTTTGTCAGACTGGGTCCAGATCTCGTGCCTTACTTTGTTCAGTATCAGGCCACCAGTATGATCCGAGGACTGAGCTTTCCACAAAGGTAATCAACACACATACCATCATCAGCCATTTGACTAAGACAGTAGTTCTCAACCTTTTTAACTCCAAGGCCTCTCATTGTCCACAACAATATACAAAGGCCCAATGACAATGACCAGTTTTTCATTATTGGATAAGCATTTAGGACAAAGATTTTTAAAAACATATATTACTCACATCTTCTACTCTCTAAAATAATTTAGAGCTTGGCATAACTATAGAAAAATGTAAATTTGTTATAAAAATGCCCATGGAGTTATAAGATTTGGTTAATTTACATGACTTTTCCAGGTCTATAAATCACACTTTCAAAATTAGGTTATCTGTTGGCGCCGATAGCCTTGTGGGCAGCGCGGCAACATATAGCGCCATTGCGCTTCGGGCGTCCCGAGTTTGAGTCCCGGCTCGTGGACCTTTCCCGATCCCGTCCCCTTCTCTCTCTCCCACCTCGCTTTCATGTCCACTCTATACTCTATCCTTTCATAATGAAGGATAGTATAGTATAGTAGTAATAACCAAAATAAATATTTTTAAAAAAGCTACCTTATGTACATATCCTGATTCTTCAATGAAAAAAATGAAATTGAATTAAAATAACACATATCTTGATTTGTAGTTGTTGAATGCTTGTTTTGTCTTATTTTGAGTCATTTTAAGTCATCTTTTATCCTGAGGCCCCTAGTGGCCCTGGTGAACCACTGAACTAGGGGAATGATTTTCATTCACAATTTCAAATGTGTTATTTGGTATGACTTGAGTTTTTTGTTGGAAAATCTACAGCAGATGTTGTGTTACAGTCATTTCGGATACGGTTTATAGTCTTACAGGTTCATTGTCAAGTTTGCAGCTCATTTCTCGATGTTCTTTCAGTGTAAAACGCACAGAGCACACTGCTCTCAAAGTCCTACGAGAGCAACTGTTTGTGCACAAGTCAGATCTTCTCAGTGCCTTTCAAGAGCTTGATAAGGAGAACACAGGTACAGACAACTATCTGGTATAAAATGCATATTTTAATACAGTACTGCAGTATTTTGCTACCTAGTGGTGTGATGATATCACTTCCACTAATAGCTAAGGAATATAAATGGAGTTCAGACTGTTTAATATTTGAAAACAATGCGTCTCTAGTTACTTAATGGCTAGTTTTGCAGTTGTTCAAATGTCAAAGCAATGTAAATGCCATCACAGGACTGATCTGTTTGTCCGACTGGGCCAGTGCAATCGAGCGAGTTCTTCACCTGGATCTGCCCTGGAGAGTTCTTCAGCCTCAGCTAGTGTCCAGCACCACTGATGGGATGCTGGACTACCACGGCTGGTTCCGGGATCTCGCCCTAAAAAATCCCAGCTCTGAGGTAAAGCAGATCCCTTGATTTGAAGATTTCCAGAAATGTATCTCTCTGTCTGCTGTGTTAGTATTACGAAATTCTGTAGATACTTGTGCAGAAAGCGCTCTCTTCTGTTCTCACTATACAGCACATTGAGCAGAGTATGCTGGAGACACTGTATAAACATCGCTCCACCCTGGAGACCATTTTCAGAATAGTGGACACAGATAATTCAGGTATGAAAAAATATTTGCAGGTAATAATAATGTTAAGATACTCATTAAATGTAAAAAAATGTTTGACCTCGTAATGCTTAATCAAAATGTCATAACTGGATCTTCCAGTGAAAACAACGTGTTTGCTATTTCTGTAATGTCATGCGAGTGACAGGTTGTCCCGCCCTCACGCCAGTAAACACGTCATCAGAGAAGAGAAATTGTTGCAAGGAGGAGGGGAAGTTATTTTGATTAAAGATTATGAGCCCACATAAATAATAATACAAAAAATGGGTAACACTTTATTTTGATAGTCCACTTTAGACATTCTACTAACCAAGTGACTTTGCAACTACATTTCAACTACCAGTCATTAGAGTCTAAGAGTATTAGTAGACTGTCTGCTTAATATCTGCTACCCCTTTATTTTGATGGTCCAGACATTCTACATAAGCAACTACAAACCCTAACCTAACAGTCTACTCTAGTGCAAGTTAGTTGACATGTAGATGCAAAGTTACTTATAGTTAGTAGAATGTTTAAAGTGGACCATAAATCATTTATAATAAACAAAAAAAAAAATGTCCATTTTGATTTCATGGCAGCTTTAACATTTCCCTGTTGATGACGATTCCTACAGAGAATAGACTAAACGTAGTTGGATGGCTTCCCATAGCACCTTCCTATGGCCAAGGTTTCTGTTTTTCTCAGGTCTCATCTCTTTTGAGGATTTCCGTCAGACGTTGAAACTGCTCAGTGCCTATCTGAAAATGGAGATCTCTGATGAGGTCATCAATGAGCTCGTCATCAGCACGGACACAAATAATGACGGTAGCATTGACATCGATGAATTCATGGAGGCTTTTCGGCTGGTGGACAAAAGCAGACTTGAGAGAGGTGAAAGTCTATTAAAGTTCAAGCAGGAATTTCAGCGCCTTCCTCAGGAGGAAGAAACCTCACAAACTGCAGACTCTACAGGCCCACAGATTTCACAAGGTCCAGGTACACACACTGAAGATTGTTCATCTTCACAGACTGAAGATCTCTGTGACATTTCTGTTGTTGTTCCACCACAATAACTGTTGAAAAAAATGAACTGTTGTAAACTGTAGTCTTCCTCTTGGTATTTCACCTTCCGGATGAACCTTTTTTAGACTTTGAATCTTCCTCTCTAAACCAAATATATGTATGTGTTAGCTTCAGGTTTACAACGCACCTGGAAGTTCTGTGATCAATCATGAATGTTCTCCATGTTTCCTCAATGTACTAAATTGTATTGCAAGCTGATGATCCTACAGGATTCCTACATTTGTTCTTATCTCCCTGAAAACTTGATCTGTCAAGTTTGCCTTCATTGCCTCTGACAAATTTGTTTGCATATTCTGTATGAAAATGAGCCATCAGTATCTTGAATAATACACCATGACATAACTGTTTCGTAACATAGACTACATGTTGTTCATAATGGATTTGATGTCTGCATAAATGTGCTAAGCATGCAAGTAAAAGGCTTGATAGAGTTTTAAAACTCTTTGCCTGCAACTTGTGTGTTTCAAGAGCTATTTTTTATTAAGAGGCATGTTGACGTTAAGCTCTGTGCTATTGCTGCAAATAAAATATATTGTCCTAGAAAACATACTAGCCAAAAAGATGACTGATGTTTTCCTCTCTACCTACACGCTTGACTGAGGGAAATGGTTTAGAGGGAGTATACAGTATGGGTGGATACTTGGAAGTAGTAGTGCTGCAGGGAAGAATATTTTTATTGGCTAAAACACAGAAACAAGTTAGCATTTTAGAACTTCAGATTCCATCGCCACGAAATCAATGGGTTTTTTGAAGGAGTTTATGATTAAATGCCTGAAATAAGGTTTGTGGTTAACAGCAGCTTAAGATATTTTCACATTTTATTCTACGACATAAAATACATCAGTAATAACCCTTCGTGATTTTTTTAAAATCTTTTACTTGTCTTGGGAAAAGGTGGTTGCAAACAAGTGGCTAATGCTGCGTTCCATTTACCTTGAGGAGCTGGGAATGACGATACACCCGCAATCTAGATGGGAATACACAAATAAAAAGGCGGTAATGCCAAAATTTCATATCCACAAAATGGGTTGGATAGTACTGTGTGGATCACTGAGTTTACTGAGACACAGACAAACAGAAGTGCTAATAAACAATATTTTACTACTGTTTAACTACGGTTGATGCGCTGAGAGCAGCCATTTTGGATTCTGAAGTCAGGGTTGTTGCGCTGTACCGTGTGAACGATTCTAAAGCAAATGGAGTCATCTGCTCTTAATCGCTATCATGGTACTTTAATGTCATACACCGATCGGTGTGCAGTGCCGCTTCAAGTCAAACACTCCTCTTGTCTTTAGCTTTTAACTTCAGGCGATTGTATTTAAACTTCAAAATAAAAGTTGTGTTCATTTGTGAAGATTGTCCTTTTTAACAAAACTTGTAAGAACCATAAACTTTTGTGGGTCACAGCTTATTTTCTGTGCAATGATCCAAAAGCCAATTAAAAAATCCTATTTTATCGAGGGAACCAAGGTGATACTAACTTCTGGTTTGGCCTTCAAAAATACGTCATTACTGCAGAACTCCGTACTATTGACATTTGACCTGGATGAAGTATTTAGCAACTCTTTTCTCTTGCTGATGATTCTTGATAACCGTGAGTCACCACTAGGGGGCGTTACTGCAATGTATCTGTGTAACGACCTATGGTAACGACTGCATTCACACTCGACATATCGCTGTCTGCTGGTTCACCCTGGATTCTTTTGTTAACATCGGTTGACTGTGTGGGTGAAAGGCCAGCATAAGTACAGATATCAAAGAGCACTAGTCTTCACATGTCTGGTGTGAGTCACTGCACATCACGAAAAGATTATTTTTTAAGGCTTTGGCAGATCGCCAACTCCATACCTCACTTTCACATCAGAGGTTGTCGCTACACTAGTGGTTTCAAAACATTCCTATAGTTGTAGTCAAATGCGTTTGTCATGTTAAGGGCCAAGACTTTTTTACAACTAGGTTGTTCAAGTGACTTACGCAGAACAAGTTGTTGCTTCATTTAAAGGGAGGGTAGGCAATATCAGACTGGCTAGCATTAGCAAGCTAGCTTTGAAAGCATATGATCCCCCCCTCCCTTCAGAATGTCTCCAAAGACACGCCTCCTCCAAAATACATAAACTCACACCGCAGAGTTTGCAAAGCGTCACTAGACGAAAGACGGGGTGAAATTACCTCATGTTTCAAAGCACATAACAGTACAATATAGCTGCAAGCAGCGATACGGGGCAGCAACAGCAGTGCAGAGCCAGAAGAGCAAAAAACTAAGCCATTTTTTAGATCTCATGACCTGTAGGTGCCGCTGTTCCCAAATATGTCATGGACCCTCAGATCATTATTCCGATGAAGCGTACCAGGTTTCGCCTCGATTGATCAAAGTTTTGCAGAGATAAAGCCTCTGAATCAATTTTGGGTCAGCATCGTTAAGACCATGTTTAGCCATGTCTGTGCGGCTCAGTCCAAAGATCATCTGAGCCAATTTTTGTAAGAATTTAGCAAATTTTGAAGGAGGAGTACCGAAAAAATGGACTACTGTACTTTTAAAAATGGCAACAACTGTAATAGGCGGATGTATTAGGCTTAATGTAAGATGTTGAATGAGATCAGCATGATGAGTGGAATCAGGCGTTCTAAATTAATTTTTTCTAAATCAAAGGGTTCAAAAGTTATAATTGTTTCAAATGTGAATATTTTAACTAGTGATGGCACTATAGAGTTGGTCCTAGAGACCCCAAAGTTGGTCAGATTACAATTCATTACCATCACTACAAGTGTGCCAATTTTCATCATTTTCCAATCTTCTGTTCATAGGGCTGCCATAGACTCCCATTGGGGGGGAATAATAATAAAGATTAAGAAGAATACTAACAGATACAATAGTGAAACTGAATATATATATATATATATACACATACACTCACCTAAAGGATTATTAGGAACACCTGTTCAATTTCTCATTAATGCAATTATCTAATCAACCAATCACATGGCAGTTGCTTCAATGCATTTAGGGGTGTGGTCCTGGTCAAGACAATCTCCTGAACTCCAAACTGAATGTCAGAATGGGAAAGAAAGGTGATTTAAGCAATTTTGAGCGTGGCATGGTTGTTGGTGCCAGACGGGCCGGTCTGAGTATTTCACAATCTGCTCAGTTACTGGGATTTTCACGCACAACCATTTCTAGGGTTTACAAAGAATGGTGTGAAAAGGGAAAAACATCCAGTATGCGGCAGTCCTGTGGGCGAAAATGCCTTGTTGATGCTAGAGGTCAGAGGAGAATGGGCCGACTGATTCAAGCTGATAGAAGAGCAACTTTTACTGAAATAACCACTCTTTACAACCGAGGTATGCAGCAAAGCATTTGTGAAGCCACAACACGCACAACCTTGAGACGGATGGGCTACAACAGCAGAAGACCCCACCGGGTACCACTCATCTCCACTACAAATAGGAAAAAGAGGCTACAATTTGCAAGAGCTCACCAAAATTGGACAGTTGAAGACTGGAAGAATGTTGCCTGGTCTGATGAGTCTCGATTTCTGTTGAGACATTCAGATGGTAGAGTCAGAATTTGGCGTAAACAGAATGAGAACATGGATCCATCATGCCTTGTTACCACTGTGCAGGCTGGTGGTGGTGGTGTAATGGTGTGGGGGATGTTTTCTTGCCACACTTTAGGCCCCTTAGTGCCAATTGGGCATCGTGTAAATGCCACGGCCTACCTGAGCATTGTTTCTGACCATGTCCATCCCTTTATGGCCACCATGTACCCATCCTCTGATGGCTACTTCCAGCAGGATAATGCACCAGGTCACAAAGCTCGAATCATTTCAAATTGGTTTCTTGAACATGACAATGAGTTCACTGTACTAAAATGGCCCCCACAGTCACCAGATCTCAACCCAATAGAGCATCTTTGGTATGTGGTGGAACGGGAGCTTTGTGCCCTGGATGTGCATCCCACAAATCTCCATCAACTGCAAGATGCTATCCTATCAATATGGGCCAACATTTCTAAAGAATGCTTTCAGCACCTTGTTGAATCAATGCCACGTAGAATTAAGGCAGTTATGAAGGCGAAAGGGGGTCAAACACAGTATTAGTATGGTGTTCCTAATAATCCTTTAGGTGAGTGTATATATATATATATATATATATAAAACTGTAGTGTGGATAAAACATTTTCTTAAAGTACCCCTGTGGTGAAAATCAAGCTTTAAATGTTGTTTATATGTCTATGTGATGTTTTTAATGTGCTTTAAGACAAACCATATGCATATTCATAAATCAGCAGCACCATCGCGGAGTATTTTCTCCTTAAAACTGCAGTGACCCAAAACCAGTCGGAAATACCAGGTTTGAAATCGCTGGTGTTTCTGACGTCACAAGCTACCTTGTAACCAATCACGTCAACGAATGGATCTCTGCGCTGGTGTGAGTGAGTGTAGGCGGGGCTAATTTGCATATTCACAACCATGTATACTAAATGAAGCAAGGTTGTAGAGTTACATGCAAGCTATTTTAAGGCATGAAGAAGTTTTTTCAAGGAAAAAAACGTTTAAATACTTTTAAGGGATAAAATTATTGACTGCAGTGGGACTTCAATTTCATGACATCTAATTATTTGAATAGACATTGATCTGATAAACAACAGATCACAATAATGATTAATAACAATTAACAATTTCAAACAAAATAATTATTTAAATCTAACAAATTATACTAATAAGAAACTGTTCTTGTGAAACGTAAGAATCAAACATTTGTATTGGGGGAGTCCCTTGGTTTATAATTGCTGAAATATGTTCTTTCACACAACGTCAGAAAGGAAAGCAGAAACGTGACAAAACAATTCGCAAGAATTTCAACATTTTTTTATTTTTTGCAAATAACACTAAAAATGTTTACAAAAGCATTGTAGAAAGATTTTGTGCAGTGTAAATTATCAAAACTAAAAATGAATATTACTTGAAATGATTTTGCACCTAACATGACATAAGGATTGTCATTCTCAGCAGCAAAAAAATGCGATGCATCTCAGGAGGACGTGATGAAGTGTTCAGTGTTTTTAAGACCACCCTCAAAGATGTTGTGAGGAATTTACCAGCCCTGAAATGAAGGCATAGGGGGGAAAAAACAATAACAACTGATGCACTGCTTACACGTGTTGCTACTTAGTGAAATAAACAAGGATGGTATGGCACTAAAAGCTCATCCCTGAAGGAGGGCGTCATTCATCTAAGAAAAAAAAAAGGTTAGATTGCAAATGGAAACTTCCCTTGTACCCAACATGGCACTATGGCAATCTTCCTTAGTGGAACTCAAAGACACTCAGCCTTCCCTTTGTTATTCCAGTTGGACAAACAGTTGATAGCTTGAGAGAGTTGTATAACAGGAGATCATTACACACAATAGGCTCACACCCCACATATACAACACAAGCCTTCCTCCATCAAAGTTAACAGTTTTTTACAACCACATACACCGTTCAGTCTTGAATTAAGGACAATATTCACTTGGTAGCTACTACTCCCGAAATGTAGAGGGGAAAAAATGAAGAAGAAAACAGAAGTGTGCTTGATGACCCCACTGGTAATATTACAAAATAATTAAAAATATCTAGAAATGAACAAGACCAAAGAAAAGACCTTACAAATTCAGATAATGTACATACCATTGAACATAGGAATACATAAATATTTGTTTGTCTGATTACAAAACCTTTTACTTCATTATAAAATTTTTACATGTTGTATTGCTGTGTCAATACATAATACTGAGAGTTTCTTTGCACGCTGTGGCAACACTTTACATCTTAAGTTCTTTGCTGTATTAAACATTATAAACTCATATAGTATTTTTCTTTTCTTTTTTAATTATTTGCCTTTGTAGACAATGAGGTTCTAATGCTCTTGCAAATGGGAAGTCGATAGCGATACAGCTATCTGTGTGGAAAGCAAACAAACCAGTTATCTAATCTTTGGTCAAGCATATAGGGGCAAAAGTCACCGTGAGGAATCTGGAAACTGTAGAGAAATGGCTCAGGTTCATAGATCTTTCATACTCAAGTCACGTTTTACGACCCACCACTGTTCCAGCGGGGTCCTTGTTCAGCGAGACTGTCAAAGACCATTTTAAAAGTAAATGTATATACTATTTGCACTGACAACAAAACATGTTACTCTCCGAGAGCCACTGTAATGGTCTGGTAGTCAATTACACTTAAGCTTGAATGACTTTCCCTCAGTTTTCTGTTCAGATTCAGCTGCATAAGACAGTGTTTCCAGTTTAAACCTTGCACTAAATCTTTAAGATAAGCTAAATCCATGGCACAGGCAAAAGACGCAACAATGTGCACTGCAATCCACGCAAACCGTGGTCGCAATTAGGTAACAGATGGTTTACGTCAAGTAAAAGTAACAAACACCAATCATTCCAGCAAGTGTCTCCAAAATGGGAATGATTTACAGATACGCAAGTCTTTAAAACAACCGAGTGTTACTACACACAAGGGTTATGGCAACTTCAGACAGATAACTGAAAGCAATAGCGAAGGCTCCGATAATCAAGGACAGAAAAAGCTAAACGAAAATTTAACTCAACAGACACAAGCAGTGATTCAAGTGCTAGAGTCTCTTTCGCCCACAGAGGATTAAATAAACTGTGCACAAAAAAAAAAGTGCAAACCTCACCGATAACCCCTTATAACCTGCTAACCTTTAACCCTAATCTGCTCTGATTAGACTGTGGGTTCAGCGTACTGTCGTTGTGCTCTCGCTATAACAGAACAGACGCGTTTCGCCGTGAAAAGGGAAGGATGAAGTTCCAAGTCCGACGCTGATTCACAGAAGTTTGTCTGACGTTTCGCCTAGTTCCACCGTGTACCTGCCATTACCACGCAGAAGAATCACATTGTGTTCGTAAGTATTTGTAAGGCAGAAAATATTCAAGTCTCGCTTGTGAGTGTTCTACGTCTGTTGTTCCGTTTTCTTACAAAATGCTAAAAGCTAGTACGACTTCTGTAATACGATGCCTTAAAGGAGAATGTCTGACCTCTTTTTAACAGCCGTCATCACTGAAATATTTCTGACTCTGATACTGTGAAATAGAGAGGACCGCTCAAATCACTAGTTTCCACTTGTCGTCACACTGCATCGTGCAAAAAGGTGGACGGTGATCCACCAGAGCAGTTCACTACAGTGTGACAAAAACATGCAAGCATTGACATGCCTGCAGACACACACACACATAATTACACACACATACTGGTATGTAGAATCACACACACACACACACACACACACACACACACACACACACACACACACACACACACACACACACACACACACACACACACACACACACACACACACATAAGTTCTGGATAAGACCCAGATTTTGTTAGCATATTAGACCTTTTTAGCTCTCTAAGACTCTTAGAGGAGGTAAATCAATAGTTTGCATTTATCTGCTCATTATCATCAAAGGGTTTGACATATGAAGAGCTGTGTTAGTTGAAGGTCTGCCTGTGTAGACCTGAATACAGTAGTGTGGGAAGAGATCTGAAACACTTTAAGAGCACAGGCCGTCCTGGACATGAGTGTTCTGGATGGGTGAAACCCCTCACGCTTTCTCATGCCTTCAGGAACTATGGACTCTGTCAGCATGCAATGCATATGTGTTTTTAAAAGGCAAAAGAGTGTTTCAGGCCTCTCAGGACTAGGCAACAGGAGCCTCTGGAAGCCCAGAAACGGTTGTTCAAAATTGAATTGGATCTTTTGAATTTACATAGGTTTTGTTTGAAGATATGGCAGTTTGAGAAGGCCATGCTCAAAGAAAGAAAAAAGTCACGAGTCAAAATAAGTGACCCTCGGCATACGGTGGTGAGCGTGCGGGGACTGGCCCACGAAGACGAATCGCACAGTGAAAACATAAAAAAAGGGTGAGGATGCACTACTGGTAGACGTCATGTCCTTCATCAACACTTTTGTGCCTCCACTGGTGACATGGCAATATAAGATCCGTTCCTCATAGGCTGATTGTTGCGGTTCTCTGGCGAATCCTCCGCTTGGTTGCTCACTTGAGTGTAAGCCGTTTCGTCTTTCGTCGTCTGTGCAGAACATACAAGAACATTAGTGTGTACATTGTTAAAACCACGTATAGATGACAGATGATGTCAAACGTGAAATCATGTACCACTAACACATGGAGCTAAACATCTAATCTAATGCTGTGAAAGTACATTACGATCACCATGCAGGAAAAGCAATTAAAATGATTTGCAGAAACAAGGTAATTTCTATGCAAATGCTCAAAATGACCAAATACAATAATGATATAACAGGCAAATTTGAACAAAATGAAAGCAAATTGTGTGTGTAAGGGAAAAATGAAGACTTACAGCAAAAGAATGAAAAGCTTCAGTAAAATCAATACGTTTTACTTCATTCTGAATTGGAACAAAAAAAAAAACAAAGGGAGGAAAAATGTTACTGGAAATCAAAACATAACAGCATTGTACATTTCAAGTCATAAAATAAATGCTATAAAAGACCTTCTGAAGATTAGTACATAAATGTGCAAAACAAATCTGAATCTCCCACTGAACCATTCATTCATAAATAAATGTATTTATTTATTTATACCAACCCAATTAAGCTGACTGTAAACTGCAAAAAAACAATTATATAATAAAAGAACACATTTCATAAAGTAATGCGTGCACTAGAGCACATGCATTCCCTCATGCGGGTGCATGCATGGGTTTCAAAGCTAGGGTTAGTGCGTTCAAGGCGAGTGACATGTAATTGACTTTCAAGCCAAGGGTGTATAAGGTTGATGGCATTTTAAAGGCTTTTAGTCTTTTCCATACTGGCATTTCTGGAGAATATTAACTGTTACTCTATTAATATTGTTCTACGAAAAGATATTGTCGACATACAAATGACATTTTTAGTCTTGCGTAACTAGCCAATAAATAAGACGGAAGGTCATAAACATCTTATCGCTGATTTTTACCTTTCTCTGGCGGTTCCTGCAGATGAGGAAGATCAGGACCATAAGTAAAATGACCCCCATCCCTACAATAATGACTGGGAAGTTGGACACCACCGTTACAATCAACAGAAGCGTCCTCATCTGGGTTGCGGAATCATCGTCGATAGTTGCAGTCTGAAAATTCCAGAGTACAAAATGAAATTCACTGGAAAACAAACTAACTTTGTGAAAAGGCAAAATAATCGATAATCTGAAGTAGGGATGCGCCCGGAGCCTAAATCCGAATTCAGAAAGGCACGGAAAATGAATAATACATGGTTTGGCTTGCTGTGGTAATCTGTTACATTACATTACATCATGATTTCACTTATCACGTGGAAGATAGTTAGGATAGATGACTGACAGGACAATGTCAGAGGATTTGGTGTGCAACAGATCCTGAGCGTCATTGACAAACATCTTTTCTTGTAAAATGTGTGGTCAGTACGCGTGATTGCAAATTGGAAAGTGAAAGTGAAAACCGAGCGTGCGTTCAAAAGCGATATTAATAGCGGCTCCCAGATGCCTACAAATTATACACAATATAAATTACCCATAATTACTTTATAATTGTGAGAAAACGCAAAAGAATTGGAATATTTTTTTCATCACCAGGTCTCTTTAGGGGCTCCGTAGAATGCGTCATTTCCTTTCTGAAAATAGTATTCGGCTTCGGGTACATCCCTAATCTGAAGAAAGTGAACTTACCTCGTTGACATACATAATGGGGAAAATTGTCTCATTCAGGAATTTTGTTTTGCTGAGGAGAGGAAAAAAAGAAAAAAAGGAAGCCTCATTAGCCTTTTTTTCATTCCAAATCACAATTTAATGTTTTTTTGTGGGGTGTTTTACTCACACGAAGCCACTGACTCTCTTCAGTATGACATTGAGCTGAGCTCTCTTACAGGCACGAATGGGGACCCCTGTGGTCTGCAGAAAAAAAGCAAAGGGACAATTTACTATCAAAAAAGATCACCCAATATTCACCACATCACACACAGTGTTTGATCAGTTCCACCGGAACAGCGTGTGGAGTGAGAGGAGTCGATCACACAACAACTTAATGAGTACATTTTCCATCACGACATGTTACAGTAACTCTCACTGGGATTCTAGGGAAAGTTAGGCAGATGTAGTTTCACATTCACTGTGGTTACCAGAGTGAATCACCTTGTTATTTCCTGTCATGTAGGGACGGGTCTATACTACTTTCAGATTACAAACCACTAGAGCGCTAACTGATCAGTGCTGTAGCTGTAAAAGTGAAAATCGCAAAGCGTCAACACTGCGTACCGGGTTGATGTCGAGGTATGTTTCGTGTTCCTCTTCATTTGGGTTCATTCCTTCAATGGCATTGATGTACCTCTCATCGGCTTGGTAGAAATGAGGGAATGATACAACAATGGGTGCACCTGTACAGTGAAGGGGAAATAGAAACACGTGGCATTAGTTGCGGTTCCTTTATTCATATTAGTTGACAATCAGGTATATATAGCACCTAGCTAGGAAAGCTCTATGCAAAATGCAATAATAAAAATAATCAGTTCTTTATCAGCTATTGCATTTATAATGGCTTGCCATAAAGATAATAAAGATGATTAAAGTCATATCAAGCCAACTAGGCCAGCAGTTTAGATTTTTACCAAAACAAAAAAATGAGTCAATTTTTTTTATTTTTTTTTCATTTACAACAAATATATTATTATTGTTGTTAAACTTTACAGCTATAACAGAACACTATGACAGAAATTCATATACTTCAAAGTTGCAACATACAAGGCAAAATATTACTGATTTGTTTATCATTTAAAAACCCATTCTAGATGCAAAATTTCCACCAACAAATGTTAAAAAAAATACAAATTATTATGTATGCAAGTCAATGAAAAAATAATGCGCAGTTTTTAAATGTTACTTCTCTTGTTATGACATTTTCCATTATCTTAAGTAATAACCCGAGGCATTTCCGAGTTTTTTTATGCACACTAACAGAAAATGAAACTTCCTCTTTTGGAGGGACATACTCAATGACAGCACGGCAAGTACCTGAACACCCACCAAGAAAACAAAATCATACATTCTGATAGGTGCCTAGTTTATCGTTAGCTAGGAATAATATGTACCAAATCCCATCTCTCAATCCTTAATAACACCCTCCCTAAATATAACCATAATAGTACCGTCATGAACCCTTCAAGGAATGATGACTAATCATAGCATGTGCAAATTTCCACAGCTGTTTCCTATCAGGATCACTCACATGACAAAAGCGAGAGTTTACCATCGTTCAATAATAATATTGGCCTAATAGTTTATGGCGGAAGCAATAGAGGCCAAGATAGAGTAATCTGTCGGAGGACACCTACAGCGAATCAAGTGCTTGAGTCATAAAACTGTACTAAAAGTTATTCATTAAGCGCTGAACCCTGATTTCCCTTTCATAGTCCAAGAGTGGGCAAACAAAAGCAGACCGATTTAACTTGAACTTCAGTTACGAAGCCACAGATCAGTAATGGGAAACCCAGAAATTCAATACTATTTACACATGCTTGGTTTGCTTTAGTTAAATGCCAGTCTGGACCAGCTATTTAGGGCACCAAAATCTTTAGTGCACTTAGATTGCTGTACTTACTTAAACCAATTACCGTATTTAAAACGTTACTCCATTTTCCCCATGTAATGATTCTTCTGAAACCCACCCACGTCTTTCTTACTGTAAATTCCTGCTCTGAAAACACACTGTTGTGGTTGGAGCCAAGTTGTGGTGTGTCCCAGAACAGGCTTACCTTGCCGACAGACGCTGACTTTGAGGACTCCTTTTCCAAGACAGTCTCCAGCAGGCACGCAGAAGCCAGCATTATTGGGGTTCTCGTCTGGGGGAGCCAGTACATCCGAAGGAGGGGCGAAGCGGAACGCAGGGATACCCTTCACCTCTGTGTCTCTCACGTAACCCAAATGAATGGATCTGCAAGTGATAAAGAGCATAAGTAACCATGTACAAATAACCAAGCACCTTGATTGTGTTAAAACACGTTGCTTACCGGCACAGATCAGCAGCAAAGATGTACAGGAGTTCTTTCCTGGAAAGGAAGGTGTGGAAGACACTGCCATCGGTCCCATTGATCATGTTGCTCTGGTTAGATGACCACCAGTTCATCTGACTGAGAGTGAGAAAATGAATAGATGGTGATTGTTTTTGTCACGGGTTCTAATGAAAAAGGAAGGTTTATTATGCGTTTTATAATATATATATATATATAGAATATCTGCGAAGTCGATTGGAATTTTATTTACTGGGATATAGGTCCATTTAAATCAGGTTATGGGGTAGAGTTGCAAAGGAGGTCTTTTCTTGTACTTTATCCTTTGATATTGACTTATCTAGCATGCTGTGTGTTTAACCCCAATTCTCAAGGCAGGAGAGCAGATGAGTGTGCAAGAATTCTCTCTATGTCAGTAAGTCAACGCAGATAACGCAAGGACTGAAGTGTACCTGATGCCGTTCCACGTGTCAATCTTGCCGTAGTCCATATAGTTCTTCTCTCCGGTGTGGAAGACAAATTCACCCTCATGGGTTCCATTTTTCTGTAGTCAGTAAAAAAAAAAAAATCTATTTAATATAACACTAGAACAATAAAAAGAACTGTGTCACATAAGGGTAAAGATGACTAGAAAGTCATTGGAAGTAGGAAAGTAGGTTGTTTAGATGCCATGATGTGAATACAGAGTGAAAGACTGAATGTTTTATTAATGCAAACCATTCAAAATCGCTGTTTCAAGCCACTCGCATGATACCTACGATTGCATAAACCGCAGATATTTAATATCTGTCCTAATACATATTATAATCCCTAAAGAAATTCTAAAACCCATTACAGTAAACCAGGCCACTGTGTCAAACATGGTAGACTGGTCAACATCTGCAGGATCATGATAATAACGTCATCTGCTTATCCTTTTCGGATCGTATATATGTGCTTTAGAGGTTGCGTGTGCTACTTTGTATTGGTTGCATAAATATATGACCCATTTAGACTGCATTTTTATCTCTCTTTTCAGACTGACTAAAGCATTAAATATGATGAAACTGCAGATTCTTACATTGTACATAAGGCCAAAATGCTCATCCACTTCTGGTCTCATGGCGTGGAGTTTGGACAGCAGCGGGTCTTTGAAACCCCACAGGACCTCATGGACTGTGCGATCCATAAACACGCCGATGCCCATGGATCCCATCCACATAGACACAGCAGTCCTCAGAAAGAAGGAGTAGGAGTTCAACTCGTTCATCACGGCCTGAAAAAAGAGGGAAAGAATTCAGAGTAAATTGTTAGGCAAATGACTAAAATCCATTAATCCGCTAAGCAAATGACTAAAAAAATCCTACGAGCAGACTAATTTTAAATGCAAAATGATTAGCTGCCAGTGCAAAAACAAGAAAACAAAACCCTTCTTACAATGAATGGAATGTTAACGGTTGTCACACGGTCAACCTCAGGATCTCCCACTGACATGTTGCGAAGAAACACAAAGCTCTTGGGATTTGTGGCAAAGATTTTCGTCCCATTCTCAAGGAAAGTGACATTTTCCCTTGGTCGATATTCCCTGATAAAAGAGAGTAGCATAATGTTAATATCAGAATTGGCAACTGTCAGGTCTAGGTTTTTAAATCTAATACACACAACACTACCATTCAAAGGTTTTTGAAAGAAGTCTCTTATTATACTCATTAATATTTCTTCTAAATTTTTTCTCATTTTTTTCTTCTAAAAAATACAATAAAACGGTAATAAAATATTATTCAATTGAAAAGAACGCTTTTCTATTTTAATACATTTTGCAATATAATTTATTCCCGAAGGCAAAGCTGAATTTTCAGCATCATTACTCCAGTCTTCAGTGTCACATGATCCTTCGGAAATCATTCTAATATGCTGATTTGCTGCTTAAGAAACATTTCTTATTATTATCAATGTTGAAAACAGTTGTGCTGCTTAATATTTTTTTCCCTTTATTGTCACTTTTGATTAATTTAATGCTTTATTGCCGAATAAAATTGACAACAACATTCTTACAAGTGCGTCATAATTATTTGACATTTATGACAGTTTAAAGTGGTTAGGGTAAATGTTTCCTGTTTCCAATCTTCTAAAAGCATGAGTCATTTCTAGACTATGGTGCCAAACTTGTTGTCACTGACAACAGACAGTACAGTTTAGTAAACAAAAAGCTCAGAATGATGTCAATGAACATGAACATCTCAATTTGAGACTTTTGTAAATCACCTGTAGGTATATGGCCCTATTTGAGTGACTTTGGGTTTTTCCTTTCCAGCCAAGAACTCCTCTGTATTGGTAACATTGAAGAAGAAATACTGCATGTATACAGGAGGCGGTGGATTTATCCAGCCCTCCAATACTCTGCTGTTTTTGCCCAGTGTGATCTCCTGTGAATCAAACACAGTTACAGGTCAAGAGAGAGCACCAAAAGACCATTTCTGTAGCTCTGCAGTCGGTTTAAAGAGAACTCAATGTTTAAGCGGAGTTTCAATATAATTTAGGGAAGAAAGAAAACAAAAGCTGAGCGCCTTCCTTTTGAGTGATGACGGTTTCTGGTGAAATGTCAGTGACCTGTTATGACACAAATACAGCAGACATGAGGTAAAGCGAGTGCTGGGATGATGGAAAAAGAGGAAAGCGCTCAGCAGACAGTTGAGCTGATTCAGAGTTAGAGAAGAGGAAGGAAAACATCAACATCAGCGCTCCATGACGAGAGAAAACATGTTTCTCAGGTTTTTGAATTTTTCCATCAGAAGTAAGGTTCAGCAGTAACACTTCTCACTTCTTGAGTGTCTTGAGCCAAACTCGGAAGAAGAAACAAATGTTTATTTTAAAACGACAAACTTTTACATCACAGAACAACGTTATTCGTGACTACACGTGACAGTAGTAAATTATGGGAAAAAACTCCAAAGCTCCAAAGGCTGACTCGTGATAAACTCATAACAACCAGGAGGTTTTACTCAAGAATGCTGCCTTGAAATGCAGATAACGCTATCTAGAATCAAAAACCATGACTTCAGCAGAGTAGCAGAGCACCCGCTCCAAAACAACAAACGTCACGGCCCCCTTCACTGGACCTTCAGCTTCTAAAAGGGCATTTCAGAAAAATCCAGATTTGCTGGAATCACTGGTCAGAAGAAGGGCCTTAAGTTGAAAAACGTAGTTTGTATGTTTCAAAATCATTCCAACATCTAATCTTTGTCAAATCACCAATTCCATTTATTATGACCCAGAGAAGAATAACATAAAAGGTATCTTTGTTCAAATCTATTTAAGAGGACACTTGTCTTTTAAAATGAGGAATTTTTCACATGTAAGCTCTGAATGGGATCTCTGTCATTAAGAGCTTTACCATGAGTAAACTAACTGGTATTGAGCACTAAAGAAAATTTGTAGCTATTCAACTTGTTCAACCATGCGTAGTGAAATCAGACTAAAGCTTTTCTTTAAAGTAAGATTATGTTACATCACACTCATTGACTCTTTTCCAATCTTTCAGGGTTTCTCAGGAGGTTCGTCATGGGGTTTTCTTTAAACCACACTGCCAGCACTTCTTAATCACACCTGGTAAAAAAAAAAAGAGTGGATGATTTTGTTTTTAATAGAAGCAGTGCATTTGAGCTTAAAAACGCCAATTAAAGTTTAATCGCACCAGACCACACCTTAACAAGCTAATGCATACACTAAACGTTTGGGTTCGGTAAGATGCTTTAATGTTTTTGATGTATCTTATGCTCACTATTATTTGATCAAAAACAGTAATCTTGTGAATTATTATTACAATTTAAAAGAACTTAATTAAAAACTATTTTTTTTACTGTGATTGCAAAGCTGAATTTTCAGCATCATTACTCCAGTCTTCAGTGTCACATGATGCTTCAGGAATCGTTCTGATATGCCGATTTGACGCAGCTACATATTTTTGTGGAAAGAGATACTTTTCCAAGATTCTCTGATAAAGTAATAAAATAAAAAAAAGCATTTAATTACAAATGTCTTTACTGTCTCAATTTAATGTATCCTTGCTGGACAAAACATTCATTTATTTCAACAAAACAAAATCCGACTGAGTTTTAAATGATATTCGTGTGCATGGTTACATCCTGTATAACTCATTAGCCTGCTTACTACTGTTCAATGGGATATGATATAAATACTAATTATTTTAAAAATAAATAATACAGATAAACCTCAGGAATTTGATTTTGTGTTCATCTGTGCTCATCAACCTTGAGAAGAGAAGTTTTTGAAGGTCCCAGTGGACATTAAACCATGTCAGACGAACATTTTCGAAGCCTTGCTCGAGCAAATACAGCCAAGGTAAGAAAAACAATAAATGTTTGCATTTTGATAGGAAGGTCATTTTTTGCGCAAGTGGTTAACATTACAAAAGGCCAGTGAAGCAGATAAGAGCGTATGATGGTACCAGCAACTGGAAATGGATATTTTCATAGATGACAACCCATGTTTTACCAAAGTCCTTACACTGCTAGGAGGTGCAGTTTTAAATGTAGACATTAATTCCCAGCAAGGAATGAATACATTCACAAGCTTACATCAAAGGAATCTCAACTTCAGCTAAAAATGAAGTTAAGTTATTGACAGTTGATTTAAAACCTTATAATTGACCTTCATGATATACTGTTTCTTTTCATATTCGGTATGTCTTCTCTGTCACTGAAACATGTGATATTGAGCCGGTAGGCTTAAGTTCTCTAGACAATGCAACTTTTTCAAGCCCTTAGGTGATGTGTGTTTTTGTTGAGTATAGGGTGTGAAGTGGAGTTTGTATAAGTGACGCAGGTATGTAGCTCTGAGGCAGTTTTTCTTCAAAGTGTTAGACCGTTAAAATGACCAACCACTGCATAACATCTCCAGCAAAGTTAGCTTCACTCACAGACCACCACAAACACCCACCCTTGAATTCCAGGTCAAGGGAATCACATTGAACAGTGAATACTACACTTGGTTAAAAATACTGAGGGTAGAGGCCACAGTTCCAAGTATTTTTCCAAGGAGGACATGCTGAGACCCTCCCCCACAGCCACACATATAGCACACACCTCCCCCTGTCATGTATTTATATATGCTATGTGAATGAACAACCTTTCCCGTAACATTAAAATAAGAGTGATTCATTCCCGGTGGTGTTGCAATGAAAAGCATTTAACAAACAGAGAGACAGACAGAACCGCTGAGGTAGATTAGAGAGAGACGGGGTGGAAAGAAGTATTTTCCGCAATATGATATAGGCTTCGTGGTCACAGACCAGCCCACTTTAATCAGGGTTACTACCAAACCCACATTTACATCACGGTAATTTAATACCATGTGTTTTGATCACCTAACACGTAAAAGAGGAGGCATTATACGGCTGAAATACAGGTTTTGGTGTACATAACATGAGATTGTGTAGTCTGGGTCTCACCGCGAGTAAGAATGGGAACTTTGGTATAGCAATTCCAAGGACCATCATATGATTGAATAGGTTGACGTGACAATATTTAGGCTTGCCTGTTGTATGATTTCGCAATGTTCGTTACATCCGTGTGATGCTCATCACAGAAGAAGCCTCGTGTAGGACAACAGCAGCACTGAATCACTTTAAAAGCCGGTTTCATAACACAACAAGAGCTTTTTGTAAAAATTAAACAAGTTTAATTAAACACTTTTCTCCATAAAAGACTAACCTTTTTTAACCGCTCCTGAATCATTGTTTGGAAGACTTGAGCCACCAGAAGGGCGATCCCCAAAATGAGCAAATGAGCGCACACGATCCCGGTGGCGTAAATGGCACACGATCTTCTAGTCATTATTGATGGTTTTAAATGGGCTGATCTGTATGGGAGGAAAATAACACTATTCTTTCTTTCTCCTTTTCTCTTGTTCCGAACTTCCACTCGAGAACCTCCCGGTATGTCTCCGTCCTTCTCAAAGCCAGAATCGTTTCCCTTCTTTTATCATTGGGATATTCAGCAAACACGATCCCAGTGAAGTGCGATTAGCGGATGTGTTTCTCGGATGCTGAGATATAATATCAGCTCTGGCTCTAAAGCAGCCAGAGGTCTTCTCCACCTCCCTCACCAGATTCAAATGAGCCAGTCATGCATGAGAAACACACTTTTTGGAGAGAGGGGCGTGTTAATCCTCCCTCAGAGCTGAGGTCACGATTTAAAGGGGTTTTCAAGGCAGATATATGTGTGTAAATGTCAGAACATCAAAATAAATATACAGCCTACTTTTACTGCCCCGACGCAATTTATAGGTTAAGAAACAGATAAATAAGTGTCATGAAAGCCCAACTTTGAGTTATAATCATTTCTAGCCTGATCCGAACAACTCTGGCTACACATTTAATGTATTCATATATTACATGAAGTTTCACGTTTGGATATATGTGCCGTTAAACTATACAGTTTTGTCTAAAAACAATACAATAGCGCTTACGAACCCACTGGAACAGAAGTTACAGCTCAGCGGGGCGTTTTTGTGTTTTTAAAAGACTTGAGCCGTGAGACCGTTAGGTCTTAATTTGTGTTCCGCTATCTACTGTCGTGTCTCCTTAAATAACTGGTGAATGAACACGAATAATGGGCGGCTCACAAGGTAAGCGATGATTGTCGCATCCCTTTTGTCCGAGGAGCTCGCGATTCTATTGGATGACGTCTTCCCGGACCACCGTCTTAAGACCACCCCCGGACGAACGTGATTGGTCGACGGCTAAGAAGTGTGATGCCGAATTTGATCGACTGATTTCGGGGCGGGGCTTATTTAAAGGGCGAACTCAGCACTGTAGCGCGGTGGAAAGGAAATCTCATGTTATTCTCATCCGGAACATATAGGCTTGATTAAGATGGCAGTGGGTTTTTTCCACTACCACAGAAAATATACTCTGTGGGATTGTGAAGCAGTGTAGCATTATCATAATTAATTATACTTTTTTTTTTTTTTTTTTACACACAAATCTGTTAATATTTTACATAGGCTACCCCTAAATGCTAACTGCAACCTCAAAGGCTAGTTTGGCCTTGATTTGACATTTACATTATTATCATTTTTTTATGTTATTGTTTAAAAGTAAAATATAACTATTTGGATAGATAAGGCTTACTGGCACTTTGAGTAAGCATGAAGTATGTGCAGCTTCCAAATGTGCTAATTTAATAGGCTACATGCAGCATTGGAGTAGACTAGGAGAAAACAATGTTGTAACCCGGGAAACTGAAATTCGTACCTATTTTAACCCATAAAAGTGCAGGAACATACCAGAGAGTTACTTTATTACTGTTCTTTATTATAACATGTATACAACTCGAGGTCATTGGCCTTCTCACGCCAAATTGCCATGCTGCTGATAAAGATGGTCAGTTTATGTCAGAGTTGTTATTGTTACGTGACACATTTTTATAGACCCCTTTTCAATATTTTTCTCAGAAATCAGGCCCACTCCCTTACTGTCCTTCCCCTATAGCCTCAAATGCCTGCATCCCCCACAGGGAAAGCTTTTAAACAAAGCTTTATTTTACAAATGTGACTAAATGCCCCTGCATATAGGGCACATTTAAGCTTTTGAGTGCTTAATATGTTAACAAAACTTTTCAGTTTTCTTCTGTTCTTCTGTAGTTAACCGGTCAATAAGTGCACTTCTCAGAAAGAAGAATTTATTGTAGGGCCTAGTGACAGATAAAGCCACATCACACTCAGGGACTGTGATAGTAAAATCATAAAGCTTTATGACTTCACCTTAATTGTGCCTACTCTTGAACTGTTGTGAACTTGCTGATAAAGGACAAAGTTAATTGCAGTTAAATTGAATGAAATGACAGTTATGCAAAACCTGATTTGCCTACTTGAATGTAGGCTACTTTAAGCGGGTTACTGTGACTTTTATCAAAGCTCTCGGGGGGTTACTCAGGCCTAAAAGCATCTGTGCAAATAAGAGAAGTGAAAACAAACCATTAAGCACCAGGAGGTAAAGGAGAAACAGTGCTCTACTTGACTAAGCTTTATCAAAAGCATAGTTTTTCAGCAATCTTTTATGAATGGACCATGTCAAAACAACTGTAATCAATGTACATTCATTCAGTTTCTTAATATCCATAATGACAATTCAAATTCGTAAAATGTATTTATTTGACTACTATTTCCTAGGGGAGGGGGGGGGGATCATACACTGTGAAAAAGTTGCTGCCTTAAATTTTTAAGTACAATCAACTTGGATATTTAAGTCAGTTTTTAACTTAAATCACATTAAACTGACTTAAAAAAAATAGTTGACTTTTCACTGTGAAAAAGTCGCTGCCTTAAATTTTTAAGTACAATCAACTTGGATATTTAAGTCAGTTTTTAACTTAAATCACATTAAACTGACTTAAAAAAATTAGTTGAATCTAACTTAAAAAGTTGAACATTTCTTAACTTATTTTCCCGAGTTAAAGCAATGTAAAAACATATGTTGTCTAACTTATTGATCATGTAATAGTGTGGAAATATATAGCCAGACTTGGTCACAAGAATGAACTATTTTAAACTAAACTAAAGAAACAATAGTTTAACCCTTTCCTGCTCTAAGGTTATTTTTGACCAAAAAAGATTATGTTTTTGTTTTCTAGAATTTTCGCATCTGTCGGAATACTCATGTGCATGTTGTGTTTCAATGATGACGCAAACTGCATTCATTTGCATCCTGTTGAGTTCAGGGAAAGGAAGGGTTTGAGAAGGTTATGCAAACATTTCCTAATTAACCATCTTAAACACGTCTTATTTATTTACTTAGTGTTGTTTCGCGCTACATGTTCAAAAATGATCGCACATAAAAGTTTGAAAAGAAAGAATAACAAATACATCACAAAAGCACAACATGCCTCATAAGTTGAATGGAAGTTTCCTTTTTCATTCGAAAGAATGAAAAGTCTTTTGTTAGTCAGTATTCCTTGCATGTTGACTAGACAAAACCTTTATCTAAAACCTCTTTTATAAAAGATATCCTGCTGAGCAGTAGCAAGCAAAGCCTTTTCATATCTTAACTGTTTAACTGGAATGGATAAGTCACTATGTGCAAATTTGCAATTATGATGTTGTAAAAACTGAACAGTGACACAGTGCAACCACATTTCTTTACTTCATAAATCTGATTTGAAGAGAGGATAGTGAATTATATATCTGTCCAGCTTGCCACTTTTTCCACATATATATCTATATACTATATCTTTGATATTTGTTGCAATGTAGTAACTACACATAATTTTAAAACTGCTCTTTTGCGGGAGAAGCTGAAAGCGTTTTCCCCACCGACCTGAAATGAGCAAATATGTGAATAATACAACTATTCAGAAAATACAAAGGTCTTTTATGTGAAGGTTTGAATATGTTATGGATTATGGCAAAACATCATTTTCCGTATATCCCCTTTGACGACGATACAGAACTTGTGATTGTTGTTGGTCTGTTGATATGACCTCTGGCACAACAGTGAAGCAGCGTTTCAGACTGTCACATTCTCTGGCTGCCCCTCCCTTCGCAAAGATGCATTTATTCAGTATATTAGTGCTGCAATTCTGCTTATAGAGAAAGGCAGGACAAGTTTGAACAACAGCTGAGAAAACAGCAGTTAAATATTTAATTATTCATAAACCGGATTTTAAAACAGGATGCGTGTAGTCATCCTTAGTTTTTTGAAAAGCTATTGCTACACTTTAATGGTACACTATGTAACAATACATCATCAACCCTTCTTCAAAAAAAATATTATTATTTTTTTGTCTTACCCTGATTCACTATAGACGTATTACTGGGCTGGCAACTTTTGAGTTCAGCTTCGAGAATTGTGTGTATGTTTTGTGTGTGTGTGTGTGTGTGTGTGTGTGTGTGTGTGTGTGTGTGTGTGTGAGAGAGAGAGTGTGTCTTATATCACACAAATCTCATGATTGGAATCTTTCTGAACTAGTGTTATAAACTATATGGGAACCCTGCAGCTGGTACGATTATTAAAGGTTCAATGTAATAAAAAAAGCTTGCTGCCTTACATTTTTAAGTAGGCCTATAGCCTACAATCAACTTGGCCTTGCAAGTCATTTCAACTTAAAATTGCTTAACCTATTTTGATGAGTTATAATAATGTAAAAACATATGTTGTCATGACTTATTGATCTTGTCATTTTATTAATTAACAGTGTTATTAATAACTGATTTGTACGCAATTGCAAATAAGGCCATTTTTATAATAGTAATAACATTATAATAACTTTGGTATTAGAGTAATGAATAGGCCTATGTATAGTGCTTTTTTTTCTTCAAAATACTCTTATCTAGAATAATTTTTTCTACAAGCTGTTTTATCCGCGGTTCTTTCAACATACCATCTGATGTCCATTTATGTTTATTTTGTAGGCTACTGTAAGTAAAGAGGAAGAGATGATCGGTTCACGTGCGATCCCTCCCGCCATAAGAGCCCCTAAGCATTTATTGTTTGAATTTCGTTATAAAACGTACACAAATTTAAATCTGAGACTTTGTTTCATATCAAAAGTAAACTAATCTAATTAATATTTTTCACTGAGTGAAAATATGGACATGTGGCGTGAGAGTTGGCAGCCCTGCGTCACGTGTTCATATTTTAGACCTAGTGGGTGGAATTGCAAAATTCGTCACTCGGCCGTGCGTGTCTCGTCATATCCAAAAGTAGAGAAAAAGTTGCTCCAACTTTGACGCGTGTATGAGAGAGGCATATAGGTTCGATAGCGAGAAAGGTTGACATGAGCAGCTACATCTAGTGATGGGAGAAACAAAGGTTTTCAAAGCTTCGAAACAATTGAACCAATTGCTTTGCAAAACGATTCACTGTTTCGAAGCTTTTTAAAACGCCACACTGCTGGTCAGAACAGTGGAAATGCAACAAAAACTCAAGCCTAACATAAATATAAACACCTTTTACCCATTGCACAATGTTTTATTGAAAGTAAAATCTATCAAATGCAATTAACTAATCATCTATTAAGATTAAATATCAAGTACGTAATGTTCTTTTATCAATTTTCAGGGGTTGCTTTGTTTGTTCCATGGATTGCTAAACAGGCCAATAAGAGACTGTTAACTACTATTATTCCTAA